GAATGTCCTGCCTAACCTTATTCTGCCTCACCATTGGCCAAACAGCTTTATTTATCAACCAATCAGAGCAACACATATTCATAGCATACAGAATGAAGATAAAAGCTTTAGAAAAACCTGTTAAAATGAATCATAGAGAAATTCAGACCCAGACAGGAGAATTTAAAGGTGAACTTAACTCGGGATTGACTTCAGAAAAACCCGTTAAAATGAATTATAGAGAAATTCAGACCCAGGCAGAAGAATTTAAAGGTGAAATTATTTCAGGATTGAATTATATGGTTACAAAGAGACAGCCTGTTTTCAAACAACCAAACTTTATCTGGTAACCTTACGGGAACTATCTGTTTTAGGGCATGTACAAGCTAATTGGTCTCCAGTGGAAATATTAGATTTAAGGAGTTTTAAAGAAGCTATAGTATCATATGGCATGCATTCTCCATTTGTAAAGCAGATGTGGTCAACTTGTAATAGAGTTATCCCTAAGGACTGGAAAGAATTAATTACAGTCCTCCTAGAAGCCAGAGTACAATTACATTGCAGAACTTTGTTTAAAGAAAGAAGCAACTGAGGGAATCTAGGCCTGTATGCTGAAGAATGGATGCCTCAATGTTGCAGAACAACTTTGGATAACTGTCCAGGTAGCCAGCTATCTCTGTCATTCTAGATTTTTGGAAGTTGCTTACAATGTTTTTCCTGTTTACTTAGGTAATATTATATCCTTCTGAGGTCTTTGATAGTTAAAGACTAGATAATTATAATTTTTCTTTGTTATGATAAAAGATAAATTAGATATAAAATTTTAGAATCACAAATATAGAATAAATTGAATATTTTCTTTAATTTTACCAAATACAAAGAGACTAGCTATTATAACTCTAATTCTTGGTAGATAACTGTTTTGTTTTATGTAATTTTACTATGCTAAAGTTAAAACCTTCCTTTTTGATGAGACAGAAAAGGGGAAAGGCTGTGGGATAATGCTGTTGTACACTGGTTTAATAAAATACTGATTGGCCAGTAGCCAGGCAGGAAGTATAGGCAGGGCAAGCAGATGAGAATTCTGGGAAGAGGAAGAGCAGAGTCAGGAGTCGCCAGTCAGACACAGAGGAAGCAAAATGTGAAGGCAGAACTGAAAAAATATACCAAGCCACATAGCTAAACATAGATAAGAATTATGGCCTAATTTAAGAGTAAGAGCTAGTCAGTAATAAGCCTGAGCAAGTGGCCAAGCAGTTATAATTAATATTAAGCCTCTGTATAATTATTTTTATAAAAGGCTGCACGACTGTAGGTGAGAAATTTGTACCAACTGCGGGTCAGGTGTGACACAGAAAAATTTCCAACTAGTTTTTATTTATTTTTTTTTGCAATAAAGGATATTTTTTTCTTGAAATGTTTGGTGCATACATTGTTACCATTTCAATATTCCAGAGCTATTAAATTAAGTCGCAGTTGTCAGTAGGTGACTTCACACTGTTCCCAGCTTGTCTTTTCCTCATTTTTCCAGACCACATTTTAGAATCATCTGTGAGCTGGGCAGTGGTGGCACACGCCTTTAATCCCAGCACTTGGGAGGCAGAGGCAGGCAGATCTCTGTGAGTTCGAGGCCAGCCTGGTCTACAGAGCAAGTTCCAGGACAGGCTCCAAAACAACACAAAGAAACCCTGTCTCAAAAACAAAACAAAACAAAACAAAACCCAAAACCAAACCAAAACAACAAAGAATCATCTGTGCAAAGCAATACTTACAGTTGTCTATACAGGATAGCTCTGTTTATTCATCTCTGTGTTTACGTGCATGCACAATTTTGTGAGAGGTCAAAGTCGGGTGTCTTCCTCAAGCATAGTTCTTGAGACAAGGTTTCTCATTAACCCTAGAGCTTCACCTGTTCCTGCCTCCCAGTGCTGGGCTCTAAGCATGCACTGTCAGCCTGTTTATGTGGTCCTGAGGATCTGAACTCAGTCTTACGCCTGTGAAGCAAACACTACCAACGGAGCCATCTCCCTATCAGGATGCTAGCCTCTTACGTAACTAAACCTCTTCTATTGGTGGTCAAGAATATGCACAACACTGAAGCAACACCCGCTCCAAGCTGCATGTGGACTGATACTCTGGTGGCTCCCCCTGTTCCCATACAAATCCACATACCAGGTAAATTAAGCAACTACAATTATAAATGCATTGAAAACTCAAACCATATAGCCAGATAGTGCCAGGCCCAGATGAAGCTGTTCACAGTGGTATTGCTTAGATAGCAGAAACTAACAAACAACTCAAAGGCCCATCAACAGAGCAACAGATCAACTGCATCATATTCATTAAAACTACATAATAGTACCAGACAGATCCTTATGAAAGGGAAAGGAGTAGAAGGAGAGACCGAAGCAGAAGTCCAAAGAAGTCCAAAGACAAAGAAAAATCTAAGTACAGATGAACAGGGCAGAGGAGGAAGCAGATGGCTAGCAGGTCTGCTCCTGCCTGACTTGGAGCACTCACAGACGCTCTCAGAGTTCCTGCTGGCACAGCTAACTCTGCATCTCCATGCTAGCATTTTAGCCTTCAGGTTAACACTGATGGTGTGGGGCACTGGGAGAGTGGGGTGTTTTCTGTGTGTACTTTTCATACAAATTTTATTGTTATGCATACATGGTAGTGTTCATATTTAACATCTTTCATATTTTCAGTCTTTTTAAAAGAAGCATTTCATAACACAGAAGTCCATAAACTTGTATATAAGACATAAAACATACTAAATTGTGCACCTGCCAGAGTATAAGAGATAAAGTGTCACTTGCTATGGAAGTTCCATGTGTCCTTTTTCCCTCCAGGAATTATCATTCTGAGTTGTGTTTGCCCTGCTGTTAATCTTATATGGTTTTGAATTTTATATAAATGACACAATGTATGTTTATTTCTGTGACTTTTTAAAGCGCCGACTAGTTTTTTTTTTTTACCAGTATATCACCCAATACTTATTTTGTGTAGTACATGCTACATGATTATTGCTTAATTGTATATTCATTAAAATGAATGTATGTCACAGACCTCCCTACTCAATGCTGAAGTAATTTTTTCCTCAATGAAACATTATTATAGGACACTGATGTTCATTCGTTGGGTGCTTGGAATGATTTTATCCCACATAAATGACAAATTTTATAAATTGCAAAAATATAACTATTACACTGTTAGACTAAAATTAGAAAGTAGTTTGATTTTTGCCTTATTTGTCATCATTGTTTCAACATCATATTTTGTTTGAAATAAACTGAAGTGTTTGACACACACACACACACACACACACACACACACACACACACACATATATATATATATATATATATATAAATTCGCATATAAATATTTTCTAAACATCTATTAAGTAGAAGTCACCAGTGCAATTTTACAGTTATTGTTAATCACAGTGGCATCTCTGATGTGCTTGAAGTCTCCCAAAACAAGGACCTCAATAGGATTATTTTAAAGTTGGTGAACAGAGAAGAAAGAACTATAAAAAAGTTATAGCTGAAATCCTGGGTATGATAGAAGCTTGTGTTTCATATATATATATATATATATATATATATATATATATATATATATGTATATGTATATATGAATAGATTGAACAATATGTTACTCAAGGTTTAAAGTACTCCATCAAATTTACTTGTCAATGTTTTAATTTTCTCTGTTTTGTGGGGTATGTAGTAAGTTCTCAAGCTTTCAAATAACTGTATTCATATTTTCTTGTCTTTATTAATTTTTTCTGTTTGCTTCTAACTATTCTTTTAAGATAGGATCTTACTATGTAGTCCTGGCTGGCTTAGAACTCACTGTGTAGACCAGGCTGGCCTCAAATTCAGAGATCCTCCTGATTCTCCCTCCCAAATGCTGGAATTAAAGGAGTGTACCACAATGCCCAGGTTTTTTTTCCTGTTTTTTTTTTTTTTTAAATGAAGACCACATGAGAATAGGAAGAAGCAAAGAGCTAGAGAGGCCCACAGAAATCCACAAAGAAACCCCCACAATAGACTGCTGGCAATGGTCGAGAGACAGCCCGAACTGACATACTCTGGTGATAGGATGGCCAAACACCCTAATTGTCGTGCTAGAAACCCCATCCAATGACTGAGGGAACTGGATGCAGAGATCCATGGTCAGGCCCCAGGTGGAGCTCCGGGAGTCCAATTGGCGAGAAAGAGGAGGGTTTATATGAGTGAGAATTGTTGAGACCAAGGTTGGATAAAGCACAGGGACAAATAGCCAAACGAATGGAAACACATGAACTATGAACCAATGGCTGAGGGGCCCCCAACTGGATCAGGCCCTCTGAATATGTGAGACTGTTGATTGGCTTGATCTGTTTGGGAGGCAACTAGGCAGTGGTACTGGGTCCTGTGTTCAGTGCATGAGTTGGCTGTTTGAAACCTGGGACCTATGCAGGGATGCTTGGCTCAGCCTGGGAGGAGGGGACTGGACCTGCCTGGACTGAGTCTACCAGGTTGATCTCAGTCCTCGGGGGAGGCTTTGCTCTGGAGGAGATGGGAATGGGGGGTGGGCTGGGGGGAAGGGGAGGGGGGAGAACAAGGGAATCCGTGGCTGATATGTAGAATTAAATTATATTGTAAAATAAAATAAAATAATAATAGTAAAAAGGTCTGTTTTAGGCATGTTTCTATAGGAAATGTTTTTAAAAGAAATAAAAATAGACAATATAATATTTGAATGCAGATGACACCATTTATTGAAATATGAACTTACATATGAAGTATTTAAAGCAAAAGACAATTTCAATTCAGGAAGAAATATATTACTTTCACTATTGTGTCAAATATTTATTTTCCAGCAGATTCACGTACTAGAAAAAAGAGCAAATTTAAACATTTTTGCAATGCACCTTACACATCATTGTTATGTATTGGAAAATAGTGAGGACAACACAATGGCATTAACCATCAATAAATTTTGCCAGACACAAAATATTAACAAGGTAATTGGCAGAAATATAGTATAAGAATATGACATCAATCACAATTAGTATCACAATTTACTTGAGAAGAAAGAGAAACAGCTGACACTTATAGATTACATAATTTAGAGTACAAGTCTCAACAAGATACAAATACAAAATTGAAAATACTGAGGCAAAACACCATTATCCAAGAGTTGAAATTTAGTTTTCAAGATGTAAGAAGGGGTGAATTGATATTTTTATTTCTGTAACATCAAACACTTCTGGTGGTCTAGTTAATAAGGTTTGTGCAGCTCACATTACAAAAGAGTTTATATATGCATTAAGATGAAATGAATTTTGAGGAAATTTTGTACATAAATCACACAGGCAAAATATTTAGAACAAATCAAGTTTTTTTTAATGTTTAAAATGGATGAGATCTCTTTTTTCTGTTCACAACTGATTGAGACATTAAAGTCAATGTTTGAAATCTCCATATTCCTGTTTACCAACCTCTCAGGGATAAGGTTAGGTTTATTTGATAGGTACAGATTAGGTAATATTGGAGTTGAAATAAAATATAAAATCACCTTGTCAGTGTAGTTAAGAAAAAAATACATTGTGGTAGAAAAAAATTGTCGATGGTTAAATAAAAGTGCTGCTTCTGCTGCTGTATAGATTTCTTTACAGATATTCTCTGTGTCTCACACACAGAGGAAGATCTAAAAACGAAAGTGTCCAGATCATGTCGCTATATTTGGACAAAAGACTATGTAATAGAAGAAACAGCTACTTCAACAGGTGCAGAATTCATTTTGTTTTTAGTTTTGAACATAGTCCTTATAAGTGTTTGGTAAATTCTGCTACAGAAATAAGATTGATTTAGCAATTTAGTTTTTAAATGGATACAACCCCTTTGTAATATTTTTTTATTTGAATTTTAAATTAGTGAGATATTAAAATACCTGTTGTTAATTTTACAAGATAATATTATAGAATAAGCACCGGGAGTTCTATACTCTAGTGCTGCAGTAATTCAACCCCTGAATAAACAAAAACATCACATCAATCTACACCACAGTTTATTTAAAGATACAATACAGGCCAATTCACACACGTCACATATATATTACGATATCACCTTGAATGGTACTTTGTTTAAACATATCACAATAAATATTTAGTGAACAAGAAAGAAGTCAATAATGGCCAGCAAATAATGCCACTATACATTTCACAAAATCAAATACAGCATCAGTGTAAAATGGACAATGTTTCACCATACTAGTGTACTTAACTGTCCTGCTTTACTTTGAAAATAAAATCCAGTTGTTTCCTTTACTTTCAAAAGGTGGAAATTTATATTCCCAATAAATATTAAAGCTGTGAGCATCATACCAGCTTTTGCTGATTTTAGACAGATTTGTTCTCTAGTCACTGGTGATAGGTGTAGAAAATGAAAAATATGTAGTCACTAACTTGAAACATAATGAATGTACTAAGAACAAACTGAAACACTTGGAATGTCTGATGAGTGTAAAGGCTGGGGGGGTATAATGTGTAGAGGTGGTCTGATTTGTTTTTTACAGAATTTTAATAATAGTGGGTGTTTCCAAATTGATACTACTTCTTTATGAAAGTTTTCTTAGTTTTGAATCCCATACTAAAATGTTCGGGTTTAAGAAAGGAACTCTGGAAATTATTATTTTATAACTTTAAAACCTTCAAATGTATGTGTATTTATTTTGAATAACTAGGTATATTTATTGAGAAATTAGGAAAATTAGCTGATATCATCATGGTGATGTTCAAAAAACATTGAGTATCTGGGTAATATTAACTGTTGATATTTTATCATAATTTAGAATTAATAAATGTCACTGCATTTTATGGTGAATTTTATTTTGAAGATGATCTTTTTATCTTACTCTAATATATGTATAAGAATAAAGAAGTTGGTCTGTAGGTGAATATCAGTTGCTTAAGATAATGAAATCTACTAAAGGTGAGTCATTTTAAAAAATAAACTCTTAAAATATTATTTTAATAGCAAAAATATGCTCTAGGTAAATTCACAAAGTGCGTATCTTATCATTTTTCATCAACATACTTTACAATTTAGATCAAGAAATTGGTATTGTATGTCCATTTATTTTTCTCAAAGAGCCTAAAAAAGGATGATTTTTTAATAAATAATAAATATAATAAAAAGAAAAAATGGTGCTTTCAAAGTCATGCAAAACTTAAAATTTAAAACTAAAAAAATATTTAAATCCTATGCTGTATATGCTTTCATAATCTTTCAAAGGCTAGCATGAGCCAGCTTATTTTAAATATCAAGGAATTCTGGTCCGGGGAGTACATGGTGTTCTAGCCCCTACATTTTCACATCATCATTTCTATCTAGCTGTTTTACTATGGATGTTACAATTTTGGATACTTTAATGTAGTATGGAAAAAATGCAACTTTTGGATTTTATTTTTTTTACAAATCAACAAAGGTATCAATTAAACATCTTTATTCAATACATGGTATTTACCTTAATATTTATTATGTCCTGGTTCCTGAAGGTCAAAATGTGGGGAGAATTTATGATTAGTGCTGGGGGGGGAGTTTAAGGTCAAAGGTGGAGGAGACTTGAGACAGGAGAGAGTAAGGGTATGGTGGGAGTTGGAATGAATCGGGAATAGGCTGCGGGAAAGCATGATGATAAATAGGGTGTAGTGAACATGGGGACAATGTCATTGTGGAATTAGATGGGGAGAGGAGGAAGGCATCGAAGATACTCAAAATAGTATAGGGGTGAGGAAATAGCTCAAGTGTGGATGAGGTATGGAGGATATGGAGAAGTGGACTTGGGCTAAGAAAGGTAGAGGATGTGGTGGAGTTAGGATGCACTGAGGGACACTTACAGGGGATTAGGGTATCTGAGGGCAGTACTAGGGTTATTGGTTCATTTTATTAACTAATGAAATAATGAGTTTCTAAATAGAAAGAAATAAAAAATATTCTTTTCAAATAATAAAGCAGAATTTCATTTACTTTAAAGCTATAGTTTTATTCTCATTTTTGTTTTCTTAGAGTTCCTCTCATTTTCCATAAAATTGTCTTCCATATCAGTGAGGCTCTCTGCTCTTGAAATAATTACTGAAAAAGGCACATGTACTTTGTAACCTATGATATGTTAAAAGCACTTTGCTATATTTTGGATTTTTACTTCTAAAACATGTTGAAAACATAATGATTAGATGGAAATATAATATGTAATTAGTGAAGCTTTTCTGACAGCTACATGAATTTTGTTATGAAGTTTTCTCATGAAAAAACCCTATGTTCTTTACTCTCTCTTTTGTAGAATTATGATGCTATTGAGTGACTTAGAGAATTAATTTGGTATGGAGAACCCTAAGACAATAGGGCATAATCTTTGAAAATAAATAATGATGTGCTACTGAACATTTGCCTTGCTCAGTTCAATAAATACTAACAATACTTAGAAGAATAAATAAAACAAAGGCTATACAGAACTTCTATTACAGGATTGAGAATATCTTCTTAGACCATCTTCATGTTTGATTTTTACTTAGTTCCATTTAATTTCTTAAAAATTTACAGAGAAGCAACTGGCCACTATACATATATTTTTATATCTAAATTTTAAGCCACTAAACACAATATCCAGAATTATATGGATCATGAGGAATAACACTCACATAGCAGGGTTTTGTTGATGATGAAGTTGCTGTTTTCTGCCTTCAATTATATATTAGTGTTATATACAATTGAACCAAATTTTGTTTACTGTCATTCTTTCTACTTGTTTACATTAGTTCTTGGTAAGTTATTTCTCAGTTTCTATTGTACTTATTAGTTTTTTTCACTCACAAGGTGGTTTCCTTTGAAAATTAGAATGCAGTAGATCTGTTTCCTAAAGTCAATGTGATAAGAGAGCATACAGAGTAGGCTGTCCGTTATCAAGGTGATCTGTCAGTTTGGTTTTTTATTTTCAGTCAAGTAGTGGTAGTAACTCAAGTATGGTAGCCTGTATCTTTCTGTTCTTTCTGTGGTTTTGCCACACTATGTAAAAATCAGGTTACTCAAGTCTGAAATGGTATCCCATCTTCTGTGTCGGTAAGAAGTAGGAGAAAACAATCTCACTACCTTTCCTATTTTCTGAGGTCAAAACCCTGGTTCATATAGCACATGCTGAACCATGGGGACTGAAGAGAGGGAGGCTAGCCAGCCTCTTTACCTCCTTCCTCAGAGGCCAAAGAAATCTCAAAAAAAGGCAAGAGTTTGCCTTCATACCAAAGATTACCACCCCTTGCACTATGTGTTAAGGCACATAATAAGGGGTTAGGTGGTATTCTATTGTTTACATTGCCTTTGGCTTTGTAAAAACAACAGCAACCATTATTCAGGAAAGTTGAAAATTTAAATGTACAAATTGAATTGTGGCCCATGTGCCCTAAAACTCAGCACAAATTTTATATTATGTGTGAATACAAAGTAATGAGTTTACTTTCCCAAGTAATTTGTCAGTTAATCTCATAACCTTCTGGTAATATTTTATCTATCTTACAACATTTGTGAAATATATGCTCCAGAAAGCCATACTTTATATATAAGTAGGGTTCAGTAATTTTAATACTGGGCTGATCATCTGGGCCAACGAAATGCTATTTTTATTTTTCTGGGAAGAGCATCATATTCATTCATCTCATAAAGGATTTCAAGAATTTTTACCTTCTATCCTGAATCTTCTTATGCAAATCAATAGAGTGGCTGGGAAAGGTAAAAAATTAACTTCAAACCAAAAATATTGTTTTAACATGCAATATTTTAGGCATCCTGTGGTGCTGTTATTATTGTCTTATATTATTAACATCACAACCACATATGATATTTACAGTTCTACAGTTATTTGTCTCCTTGTATTGTTAAGGCTTCCATAAATATTTACAATTTTGCTGTGTATATGTCAAAAAACCCAAATGACATATTTAAATACTTTTAGTGAACTTTTCCCTAGATGTCTTTTTAAGATATTTCAAAAGAAGTACTATATTCAAGAATCCTCTGTTAAATCTCCTGGATTCTAGCTTTCATTCAATAAATGTCTTGGACATCAAGATAGACTCATCAAAATAAATGACAATACCTCTAAGATCATTTTCATTTGTCTATCAAAGTATCCAAGAGGACTTGAAATTACTAGGAAAAATTGTCATTTGAAAAGTACATGATATTTTGTTCAATGAAGAAGTCCACATCTACAACACACTAGATTATATCATATACAATTGATGACTGCATACAGGATAAACGAGATAGCTATAGTCTGGTTTTATCTAATCTAATAAATAATTATCACACATTTTTTAATTATGTGTATTGTGTATTCATAATTTAGATGTCCTATTTAGTATTTTGAGTTGTCAAGTTTGTACATGTCTGTTTTGATGTTAAGTGTCTTAGTTTGTTTCTTCAATGGACAGCATTGTATATTATCAGTTTTTATAACTGGTGTTCACCTATCTTTGAGAGCTCAGTGAGTGGAGAAGATACCATATGTCCGGGAGTTCTACCACTATTACCCATGTAAACTCTAAACTCACTGCCCCTGGGAACTCCAGCATTGCCTCTAAGAGCTTGAGGATTATCCATGGGCACTCCAACATTAACCATGGGGATAGTATTGACATTATTCATGGGAATTCTAACATTGCCTCTGGGACACGCATAATTATCCTCAGGAATTCCAATGTTTCTTCGAATTGCAGAATTCTCAAATCTTGGCCTGATGGAAGGATATTCTCCAAAATGTGATGGAATTGCTCTTTGCTGAGCTCCCTCCATGTTGTATCTTCTCTTGATGTTTTCTAAAACATAAAGCCAGAAGTGTATAAGTGATTAACAGATTGGCTTCAGTTTTGAGATGAAGCTATAAATAAGAATGAGAGATGTATTTCCAAATTTTACCTCACAATGTCATGGTGATCTTACCACAATATGTAACTTTTATGTAGTAATTACACTTTTGGGTGTAAAAGATGGACAAAGAAAAAAAGTGAGTAAATGATTCTAAACCAGAAGTTTAGGTTTATTGGAAGGTAAGGTGGAGAAAGAGAATGAACAGTGAGGGTATGATAGAGGAGGAGCTACAGGCTGAAGGCCTTTTAGGAACAAAGGTATTTAGAATGAAATTTTATTTCTTTGATAGTATAAGACACTAATGCAACTAAGAATTTAGTGGGAACAGGAATTAGATAAAAGATAACCATTAAAAACAGGAAGCACCCAGGAAGTTTTGTGTGTGTGTGTACGTGTGTAAGCATGCAGGTACTTGTGTGTGCAAGTGCACATGGTGCCCATACAACAACCTAGGATGCTGTTCACCAGGAGTTGCTCACTTTTTTATTTTTTTGAGGCAGAGTCTCTATCCAGCAAACTCTAGTTCTGGGATAACAAACACACACACTACTATGTCTCTGTTTTTCAACCAGAGTTTTCAAAATCAAACTCAGTTCTCTTGCTTGTAAGGCAAGCTTTTTACTGATTCAGCAGTGTGGTGTTGCTAATCCTGTAGCACTCTTCAGAAGGATTTTCAACTTGAGAATAAGGTTGAACCAACTCTACATTTCAAAGGATAATGTGATCTGAGCTGACCTTAGGTTAGACTTTAATTTCTTCCTTTGATAAATAACTTCTTAGAGTTCTAAACATTTTATAGAAAAAGAAATATTACATAATGAGTCAAGTTGTGGTTTCCAGGTAAACTCTGTGTTAGCCTTCGGACTTTTCATCGAAAACATCTTCAGGAGTTTGGTGATACTATTTTTTAAAAAATATTTTTAGTTGGCATACTTTTCATGAAGTTGTAGAATTGGGGTTCTAACAGAAATTAGACAGGAAGATTCCTAATACTATCCAGTATGCACAGGAGCATTTTTGTATATGCTTATATAGGTGTAATGCTGAAAGAAAAATGTTATTCTATAGTTAGTAGCAAATTTCAATCTAGGATTTAAAATGTTATAGATATGTTACGTTAATATTACTTTTAATCAATTATAGGTTAAAATATTAATGGTTTATTTGCAGATTCATGCTCTCTTGTCAGTAACTCCTCACATACAAGAGGCGAAAGAGGAATTCTTTGTTGGGTTAGTTAACAATGCCCATCGTCACATCATTCCTTTTTTCTTACCTACTACTTAGTTATTGGGTAATGAGTGTGTTAGCAGACTATTTTTCTATTTTGTGGGTTAAAACTGAATGAGTGAGGACTAGTAATTTTCCCATGCTTTTCTTCCTAAGTTGAAGTTCTTAAAAAAGAAAGGTGAATTTTTATTCCTAACTTGCAGTCTTAAAAAGTCTGTATATTCTAGAACCCACTCCCAATGATTATTAATTGGTATGTGACTGGATTAACTCAACTCAGCATCAAGCTGCAATCACTGAATATGAATATAAGGCTTGAAGTTGTGAAAGAGAAACTAATTCTACCATAAATGTTTTATGATATAGAAAGGGATAGATAATCTAGGAGGTGGACTCAAAGATAAACTGACTGGTGACAGTCTACCTATATGAAAAATTATATATAACTTACAAGAGTAGTGACAGCAAGAAAAACCTTACCTTCTGTCAGTAAACCACGGTCATGTGGGAAGAAGTGAGTTTCTTCTGCATTTAATTTGAATTCCGGTGCATTTAAGTATTGGCCTCTGGCTTCACTGTATCTTGGTAAGCTCCGACTGCGCTGCCGCTGGAGCTTAGGGCGCTCGGGCAACAGGGGGAAAGGGCCTTGCAAAGCTTGGAAACGTTGGTCTTCAGGATGGATGGTTACTTGATTCTCTTCTTCTGATGTTAGTTTGTTGTAACCCATATTTCTGTTTTCTTCCCTGGGACTAGTTTGGAGAATATGGAGCCCCTCACTGTTTAGTGGTGCCTCTAAGAGCTCTGCCCAGGAACGCCGAAAGATGGATCTTTCTCTAAAAGGATACATGCTTCTTGCTACTTCCATATCATCACTTCCTGGGGACTCTGCATTTTCTGGAGATTCCATCCATAAATTTCTTGGGGTTCCTGGGCGACTGTATTCTGAGGATGGTGAAGATTCATTTATTAAAGACTCCAGGTGTACAAACCCAGTGAATTGCAAAGTTGGAATTTCTGTATCATCTAGATCCTCCTTTCCAGGCACACCGGCAACAAGTATTGCGGTGCCTTTCCCCCTTTCCTCTGGACTGGCAATTCCTGTAACATCTAAGCGTTCAAATTCTGGGAACCCTGGAGACTTAATTGGTACTTTCTCTATGCGAAGAAGCCCTGAAGTTTTTGGTTTTACAAGAGCAATGCTTTCTAACTCCTTAGTTAGTTGGGGTGTGGTAACTGTCACCTCCTCATTCGTAAGCCCCAAGTCCCTCTGATGGATACCTTCACGGGTGGGTTGCTGGGCAGCCAAAGTTGTATTCTCTTCTTTTTGTTTTCTGGCCCTTTCCTGAATTTCCGCATTAATAGGACGGAAATAAATGAATTCATCAGAAATATTTTGAGCACGTCTGTATTGGAAGTTTGGATTCACAGAAACAATCTGAAAGAAAATTCAAGTTCAAAGATACAGTTCATTATGTCAACACTTTGAATAATATTCTTTTTTCTGACACATTGTATTTTTTATTGTAAGGACAGGATAATACTAACTTAGGCACTATAGACATAAGTTAATTACTTCAAATTGAGAAATATGAAGGATTCCCCCAAAGTGATCTATTTATTTCAGGAACAGATTAATTTATTCTAGTATTTCTCAAGTTTATTTCCTAATAACCTAATCAAAGACTCTTTGTTACCCTCTAAGAACATTCATTGTCTATGGCCAATAGTTTGGAAAACAATTTATAATTTTTATAACTTCATAATATGTAGGACTCACTTAAAGGTTCCTAGAAATATATTTAAAATATTTGTTTCTATTTTTTCTATGTACGTCCATGTGCTTGCATGTGTGCCTATGTGTGTGCAGGTACATTGTGTGTGTATGTATGAGTATAAGTACACCTGTGACATAGCAGTTGTATGGACAGAGGACAACTTTCTATAACTCATTTCTCTCCTTCCATCTTGTTTCTAAGGCACAGTCTCTCTTGTTGTTTTGGCTGCTTGGATGTGTGCCACAGGAGAGCTAGGGTTGCAGATAAAAGCTACCACATCTGCTATTTTTAAAATTTGAGTTCTGGGGTTCAAACTCAGATAATTAGGGTTGTGTGGCAAGAGATTGTACTTGACGAATCATTTTTGCTGGCTTAGAAATCTTATCTTGAAGGGACTGCCCCCTCAGGGTTGCTAGTTCTTAGAGACAATAAACAAGTTATCTTTGAGAACACTTTTAAAATGCAAACCAACCAAGCTACAGTACATACTTCCAACCGCCTCAGTCTTCAGGCCTCTATTGCCGGGTCAATCATTTTAAGGACAGGCACTGGATAACTAGGAATAGCTCCTATATTCCAGAATCCATAGGAATTATTCAAGCTAGTTTGTTTGTCTTGCTGCATTATCACTGATTTTGGTGTTTCCCATGTGTCTCCTACCTCATGTCAAAGTATGTCACTTCTCTTGGGATGTGTGAGTATAGCAGACTATATTTTCAATGGCTGTCATTTACTGATATGTTTGCTGACCGCACAATATATGAATATATATGAAAAATAAACATACTGAACATTCATATTTGCAAATGATAATCACTCTGAAACTGTGTACTTTGATCTTACACCCATCACCACTATGCGATTCTTGAAGATTTTCAAGAAAACCTCCAAAAGAAATCCCAGGATATCAGCAAAAGTGAGAATAAAGATTCATAAAATTTCTTCCAAAAAGTACAATGAAAAAGATCTGGTAGAAAATGTCAAAATCAACTTTCAAAACTCTAGAAATTAGCCAAAGGCTTGGAGTAATTTCTGCTCATTTGTTCAATGTGGATGGCTGAACTGCTTGTTGCATTTTCATTTTCCCTGTTCCAACATTACTGTCTCCTTCCAGTTTTATAGATGCTTTATAAGCCAACAATTTAGAATCGTGGTGGAAACCCAGGGCCTACCAACAACTGAATTGAATAGAATAGAATTAAATCACCTCCACATACTCATTCTCATGGAGTTATCATTAACTGACTTGCCTGGCAACTACTTCACATTATATTCTAAAAAACAAAACAAAACAAAACAAAACAAAACAAAAAAAACAAAAACAAAAACAAAAACAAAAAACAAGGAAAAGAAAAACAAACACACAGACATGTACTTGCACACATCCAAGCAAGCTATGGTAAAATTTATCACACTCACTGACTATTGTTAACATTTGATTTGGAAGACTACTGGTCTTTATATTTTTCTCTGACTTTCCCCATACAATATTTGTATAAATTAAATCAAAGAAAGAATGACATTAAAGTAACAATATTATGTTGAAAACTTTGAGCTAGCATTTATCAGTTACATGCTGTGTTATCAGCTTGAGTATGAGTTTCATTTTTTAAATCTTCTAACTCTGTGGCACTTACTATTCTATTTTTAGTAGAGAAAAGTCCACGTATTTGATAATTTTCTTATTTTATTATTTTGGGAGTGATAATTTGAAGAGATTGTTGTGATTTGATTAGAACAGGCTTTCTCCAAGAATACTTCCATATGATGGTTCCAAAACAATATAAGTGGTTCCATAAAATTGTTATATATTAAACTATATATTGGGAGAAAAACTAAGTTAAACACAATTTTAGAACACTTTCCTTGTTTACACTCTCATCAACAGTAAATAAGGATTTCTTTTTATGCACATATATCCTCACCAGAATTTGTGGTTATTTTTGTTTCTTGATGATAGCCACTCTAATTTGGGGAAGATACAATTTCAAAGTTCTTTTAATGTGGATTTTCATTATAGCCAAGGATGTTGAATATTTTAAAATATGTATTGGCCATTTGTGTTTCTTATTTTGAAAACTGTCTATTCAGCTCACTGGCTGAATTTTTGATTGGCAGTTCATATATTCTATATATTAACTCCTTGTCTGAAATATATCTGGTGAAGACCTTCTCCAATTTCTATACCATGTCTCTCTACTCTGTTGATAATTTGTTTTGCTGTGCAGAAGATTTTTAAATTTATGCAATCCTTTAAATTCTTGGGTTTACTTACTATGCTATTGGGATTCTGGTCATAAAGTTGTTGCCTGTAACTATGCCTCAAGTATTTTCCTTATGTTTTACATGAGCAGTTTCAGTGTTTCTGATTTTAAATTAGAATTTTGATGCACTTTGAATTTGTGTTTTTTTTTCAGTGTGCATCTAATTTAATTCTTCTGTAGCATGTGCCCAGTTTTGCTGGCACATTTATTGAATGAACTACCCTTTTTTTTTCAGTAATGTTTTTGATACCTCTGTCACTAATTAGATGTACATAGCTGTGTGGTTTACTTTGGTGTTCCCTATTCTGTTGCATTGGTCTACATAATCTGTCTTTGTGACATTACCATGCTGTCTTTGTTACTCTAGTTCTGTAGTATATTTTGAGGACAGGAAATGTTATAATTCTGGCTGTGCCTTTTCTCCTTATAATTCCTTTGTCTCTGTATGGTGCTTTGTGTTTCCATACGAATTTTAAGATTACTTATTTTTAGTTTTGTGAAAATATCACCAGAATTTTGATTGGGATTGCATTGAATCTATAGCTTACTTTTGATAGTGTACCCATTTTTATAATATTAATTCTTTCAGATAAGGAATATGGAAAGTGATTCTACCAAATAATGTCTTTCTCAAAAAAGTTTCAGCATCTTAAAATTTCCTTGTAGAGGTCTTTTATCTTATTCTTTAGTTCAATTTTTATTTGTTTTAGTTTTATTTGAAGGTATTGTGAATGGGATGTTTTCCTTAATTTCATTCTCAATGTTTGTTGTTGGCATGTATAAAAATCTACTTATTTTTGCATGTTGATTTTGTATCCTGTAACATTATTGATAGTGTTTATCAAATCTAAAACTTTTTTCTGTAGAGTCCTTGGGTCTTTCAACAGTATTATGTTTTCTGTAAATAGAGATAGTTTAACATCTTCTTTCTCACTATTATCCCCATTTATATCTTTGTCTTATTTTAATTTCTGTAGCTAAGACTTTAAGCTTTATATTGAATCGAAATGGAGAGAGTGAGCACTTTATCTCAATCTGGATTTTGGTTGAAATGCTCTAAAATTTTCATGTTATAGTATGAACATGTTATGTTAGCTATAGGTTTGTTATATGCAGCTTTTATGTTGAAATATGTTTCATAAATTTCTAGTTTATTCAGGATTTTTATCATGAAGACATATTGAACTTTGTCAAATGGCTCTTGTCTGTCAAGGTCATGTGATTTCTAACTTAAATTCAAATGTTGTATTATATTTATTGACTTGTGTATTTTGCATCCTTGGGTGAAATTAACTTGCTAAAGATATATAATATCCTTAATTTGATTCTGAAATAAATTTATCAGTAATTTTTTGAAAATTTCTACATTCATGTTAATCAGATTATGTTGTACCAACTCCCCTTTCATCTCTAATTTTATTAATTTGAGCTTTTCTCTGTATCTTTGTTTTGGTTTGCTAATCTCGTTAATCTTTCCAAAGAACCAACTCTGTTTTTTGCCTGTATTAATTTTTGCCATCATCTTCATTATTTCTTGCCATAGTTTGCATTTGTTTGACTTTTTAATTTTCTGTAGCCTTGAGTTGCATCACTATGTTATTTATTTAGGATCTCTCTTACTCTTTTTAAATGTGAGCACTCACAATTCTAAACTTTCTTCTTTGGACTATCTTGATGTTATGCCTGAGATTGTATTAGGGTGTGCTCTCAGTTTCATTTGATTCAATATTTTTGAACTCCCCCTTTGATTTCCTCTGTAGTACATCATTCAGTTTCCTAGTAGGCTGTATTTTCTGAGGTTAATCTTGCTATTTATTTGAAGTTTGATTCTGCTATATTTGGATGAGAAGCAAGGAATTATTTTATTCTTTTTGCATTTGCTATGGCTTTCTTTGTAGCATATAATATGCATATTATAATTGTATGTGTATATATAGTATGTATACACTCACACACACATATAGTTTTAAAAAGTTTCTATGCACTGCTGATAAGAATGCATAGTCCCATCTTCTGGTGTCTTCTCCAATGATTCAATGTTATACCCATAGATCAGTATATCAATCCTTATCAGAGAAGTTTCTCATGGCATGCAATGGAAATTTACACAGAAACTTCTAAACTGGTCAATGTCCAGAGAATGAGAGAGTGGCATGCTCAGCCATACATAAATGGGTTTTAGCCCTCCCTCTAAGGCTCAGGAATCTTTGAGAAAGAGAGGGCAGAAATATTGTAAAAGCCAGAAGTGGTGGATAACATCAAATTAACTGTGTTTTCCAGATAGTAAAGGACAGTTGCATATATGAATTCACTGAAACTGTGACAGCCTGCAAAGGTCTGCCCAAGCTCCAGTCAGGCATAGAGGGTGGAAGATGAGCATGAAATCCTATCACTTG